CCGCTTTTGATAGTTGGACACTACAAGCATCTTGGAACGATCATTCAAAAGCGCGGATCTATGGTACGAGATCTGAGCAGCAAGTTTGCTGTCGCGCATGATGTTTTGACTCGTTTCCGCACACAGATCTTTTGCAACCGAAAACTGTCTTTGACCCATAAGTCCCGCATGGTGAAGAGCCTTGTTTACAGCACTATGATTTTCAATTGTGCTGTCTGGGCGCCGCGTACTGCTAAACAGCAGAGGCAAATGGAGGCGGGTTTCACCAAATTGGAAAAGAGAATTGCAGTCATGCACTACGGTGCTGATGCCATTGACTGGAGCGGATCTCAAGCGCGAGCGGCCCTCAATCTGCCAGCCAGTGAGGTGATTCTCAGAGAGGCGCGCCTTCGATACATTGCACAGCTCATTCGATCAGGGCAACCACATGTTTGGAGTCTCCTGCAGGAAGAGAAATCCTGGTTCGGCAAAGTTGCTGACGACCTTGTTTGGCTTCAGTCTTTCTGTCCGGAGGACCAAGTTCCGAACGGAACGCCTGAAGAATGGGAGCATCTTTGTTGGTGGGCAAGTGAGCGACCTAAAGCCTGGAAGAGTCTGATCCGAAGAGCTGTGGAGCGGGCAAAAGCCCATGCTGCACGCGTCCATGAATGGCGGGACTGGCATAAGGCTATTGTGGTAGATTTGATTGAGGCAGGTTTGATTGGTAGAGATGTGGCTTCAAGGGCCCATGAAGAGTTCATTTGTGCAAAGTGCAGGCTTGATTTTGCAAGCAAATCGGCAGTAGCTGTTCACTCCTTCAAGTGCCATGGGCGAGTTAATCTTGCCAGGCACTATGTTGAAGGACTACAGTGCAAAGGATGCCTGAAACACTATTCGTCAAATATCAACTTGATCAATCACGTGAAGCGAAAGCCACGATGCCTCCAAAGTTACGCGGTAGAACCTTGCATGCTGGATCCTGCACCAGGACTGAACAGTCGCATTGAACGCAAAAATGACCGGGACATGGCAGATCCTTATTTCCAGGCAGAAGGACCTGTGCAGCCAGTCAGTGAAGCAATGCCTTTCGACCCAATTATTGATGCAGAAAAATTCCGAATCTCGAATTGTTGGGCTAAAGTGGTGCGTTCAGGAGTTGGCCAAGATGACCTGAAGGAGATCATTCGTGATTCTTTGGGATCAAGCTTTCTCTATGTGGACGAGATGAAGACTGTGATCCAATCTTTCAAGCACCATCTTCAGGAGTCTGAAGAGGGAAGTATTCAGCAAATTTTGGCCTTGCAAGAGGCTGACAAAGCGGTTTCTCGATCTTGGTTGTTTGGGGAGTTCATGTCTCCTAAGGAGCATGAAATCGACTATGTCCAATTGATCGAAAAAGAATCATGCCTTTTGGATGCTTTTCCTCCTGTCCCTGTAAGAAGCCCGAAATACTGTCCAGTTATCTTTGCTCATATTTTCTCTGGAAGAAGAAGGCCAGGCGATTTCCAAGAAGCAGTCGAACGTCTGGGTGCTCGAGCGATCAGCATCGACATTATTTTCCACATCACCTATGGCGACTTGTGTCGAGCTGAGACTTACGCACTGTTCAAGCGAGCCTTCTGTGAGGATGTCATTTGGGGGTTCCTCGGCGGACCCCCGTGCGAGACGTGGAGTCGAGCAAGGGGCCGTCAGCTTGTTACAGGAGAAAGTGGTCCTCGGCGAGTTCGACAAGTCGAACGCCCTATGGGGCGACTTGACCTGACCGAGAAGGAGGACCGCCAAGTCCGACTAGGCAGTCGACTCCTGGGCGTTGCGATCAGGATGCTCTTCTTGGCCGCGCTGACATCCAAGACAGCGATCTTGGAACATCCAGCAGAGGATCTGCATGATCTGAGTCAGCCTTCCATTTGGAAATTGGCCATCCTGCGACTTTTGCTCCGTTTTTCCACATGTCGAAAGATTCGAGTTTTGCAGGGGCACTATAAAGCTTCTTCTGCGAAACCAACGGAGCTCATGCTTGTGAACGTCTGTGATAATGCCGAGCAGATGCTTTTGAATGCACGCTGCTCAGAGGTGCCTAAGGCTACCTCGATCGGCAAGAATGTTGAAGGGGCGTGGCAGACAGCTCATTTAAAGGAGTACCCTGAGGCCTTTTGTTCGGTCTTGGGGGAGATCTTCGTGAGCAGCCAGCCCAGTTCCGCAAGTGACCTGCCAGTGCCTTCCTGGTTTACTCATGTTTGCGATGAGCTTACCAGTGAGTTCAACTTAGATGCTGAAATGGGCATGGACTATTGCGGAATGGACCCGAATGCCAATTAGTAATTTAATGCACACTCGGCCGCGGACGACCGTCTTTGGCACATGAGAAAGAAAAATGTATATTATATAGTATATTATATATAAGTGCGTTTTGAGCCTGCCTGCTAGCTATCACCCCACGCCCGTGAACCTCGATTCCATGAGGCTTTGCAAATTCCTGTCCGATGTCCTCCAAGCCGTCCTGTGCCGGGCATCCTGGGGAAGACGGTGGGATCTCATGTGTCGCACTGGCGACTCAGTCCTGGTAGTGACCAGCAGCAGGACTCATTGCGGAGGTACAGCGCATGCGGCGCATGGGCCAGAGGGTGCTGCTTTGGTTTTTCTCCCCATGCGGCGCATGGACCATTAGTGAAGGGCATCGCTACTAGTAACATCTAGTAACAAGAAGCTACTAGGGGCTCCTGGCCGTACTACTAGGAACAAGAAGCTCTGTTTGCCAAAAACTGGACACCCAGTTCCGGTCCTGGTCGTACCCACGAGTGGTTCATGGACACCCTTAACCTCTTTTTCTCTGCGATTAATGGAGCCGTGGTAGATTTGTGTGGGTGTGTGTGTTTGTTGTTGGTGCGTTTTGGAAGGAGCGGAGCCCCACTCACCCTCCCACGAGGCGCCACGAAGTGTCCAAAAGTGCCAACGAAGTGCTTTTCTTTGGGCACGAGGAGCAGATTGGAAGCCTCAATCATGGCGGCCCTGGAAGAGATAACATCCAATCGTGTATTTGTATACAGTAGATTATTAGGTCCGGCTGACTAAGGCCTATATAGGAGTATCAGTGGGCGGTCGGACGTGGTTGCGAAAGATGAGGTGGCACAAATGGCGGGGTTTTGTTATATGGCCACTCCCATCCGATCTCATGAGATCTGATGAGGGTTTTCCCAGGTGAATGGTAGGTTTGATGTTGATATATACTGGTTGCCGCACTGGTGACCTGCAGTACTTTGCATGGTTATCCACTGAATGTGACTGTTTTCTTCCACAGTTGCGTTCTGGGAATGCCTTCTCGCCGCCGCCCGAGACCGACCAGAGGCAGTGACTTTGCGCCGCCTCGGACGAAGGTGGGGCGAACGAGCTGGCACACGAAATGGGACATAAGCGATTCACCGCGATTTGCACGATGAAAGAAGCAGGCACAGTCTAATACTGTATATATAGTCTATAATCTATATTGTTATATTATGTAGTATCTTGCTACCGAAGAGCACACACCCAAAACAACCAACAAAACAGAAGGTTGAAGGTTGTTTTGCCGCATTGAATTCCGGATTGTTTGTTTCTCCATTCGCTTGAACGAATTGTACATGTATACATAACTTGACTTGATACCTGTGTGCATTCCCGATTGTATATATAGCTTGTCAGTTGTTGCACACCAGTGATTGCACCAGTTCCGCTCGTCACCGGCTTCCACCGGTCCCGACCGGTTCCCGACGTCCCCCACGGCCAGGGGCTGTTCCTGGAAGCAATCCCGCCCTTGCTTCTGAAAGCCGAGGTGAGTGAAAGCCAACGTGCATTTTCTTTGTTCCGGTGCTGGTTGATCATTCGGATCGATAAAGTTATGGGAAGACGGGCAGAAAACGAACCCTTTGGAGGGTTCCAACGCCTCAATTTCAACTTGAAACCCTCCGGCCTGTTGTGTAAATATATTGAATTGAGGTCTTGACGGTCAACATCCACTCCACCAGATACAAAATTGGGGGAGGGTCTATCTATTGAGAGCTCGTTCCCCTAAACCAGTTCAGGGACAGGAAATCATCTTCCTAGAAGGAAACAATCGGAAGCTCTTTCCTCTACACTTTCCTATTGAAATCTCCGTTCTCAACATGAGCAAATCCAGAGGAGTGGGGAATGGACAGTGACCCTTGCCGCAAGGGACGGTTCAAACCCATCACACATCCATTCCACGGTGACCGTGGACCATCCGCTTGGGCAAGTGTTTTTAGACTTGTCCAGGCCATGGTGCGAGTGTGTTAATGATTCATATACTGTAAAGTGTTTCTGGAGAACGTGTTTCCTTCTTTGTTCAGCATTTTGTTTTGGTCATGAGTTCTTTAAGATCATGAGTCTAAGACGGAGACAGAGATGCAAAAACAAAACACAATGTGGAAGGAATAGGTTGTGAGCCGCTTGGTAAGTTTCATTGTATTTCAGGATCGTGTTGAGACGTACCAGCCTCTTGGATTGTACCACGTCACTGATTGAGAAGATGGACTCATTTGCTTGCTCAGTCAAATTGCATACTTCTCCCTTCCATCAACTCAGACAAGACCTTTTTGCGTGGGTTCACTGGCTAGTTTGCCGAAGGGTTCAAATCCTGATGGCATAGACTCATGCGTGATGTTCAGAAGAATGGCAAGTACCAAGCATGTGTAGATGAAGACACAGTTGGGATCGGATGGTCTCCTGTTCCAACGACTCCAGCGACTGATCTCAAGTATAGAGTACTGCAAGAGATCAGGCGTTCAATCACATTGATGTGGCATCTCAACACTCAACTTACTTGTGGCTTGGGCACATGGAAAGCTCAATTTGTTTCAAAACTTAGTGGGAACCTGCAATTCAGATCTAATATGTTTACTCCATATGCCTTGACCAATCTTGACAAACAAGGATCCAACCTTGCTGGATTGAACATATTTGAGGTCACACTTTGCTCTGCTATACCTACGTGTAAGTATACCAACCTGAGTATCATGTTGGATCTCCAAGTATCCAAGCTCCCAGCCAGCTCTCGCAGATGCTGGCATCTCCGGACAGCCCCGGCTTCCCTGCTTTGTGCTCGGCAGCACAGTCCGTGGAGCACAGCGTCCGGGAGATGGTGACGACGCTCGGAATGTTCCATGTTTGGGGGGGGGTCAGGTGCCAGCTGTCGCTCCGACTGGCATGATCTGGTCCGAATCGAATCGAATCTGTTTGCTTTTGGATATGGTTTTTGGGAGGGACGAAGCGGAGACTGGTGTAAACATCCAGTCGAAGAGCAAGTCGCTGTGACCGGTGAAGGAATCTGAGGATCACACCCTGGAATTTGATTTGAGGCCAAGCCCTGCATTTGCCAGCGCTTAGTTAGAAGATAGTAGATGCACACGATCAGTTCTTCAACCAAGATCTACACTCCTTAGGGCTCCACTCTCAGAAGGTTTGACTCCTCAACTCCTCCGGGTTGGCCCAGGGTGTTCGCACCAGAGTGAGAGATCTGCGGAAGGTGCTACCCAGGTCAACCTCGACCCGGGTGGTGTGCGGTATCTCTCGCGACCTTCAGGAATACCCAAGTGTTTAAGACGTCAATGTGTGGACTTGTCAAAAAACACAAAGTATAGAGACCAAGGTGTTTTACACATGTCAGCACCTCTCAGCTTTCAAGAAGAATCTCCACCCATCCTCTCCACTAGAGTTTCTGCACTCAGGAAGTACTTCCCCTTGAACTCTCGAGAGTATCATCGCTCGGCGGACGAATACGCCACCTACCTCATTCTCCTCGAGGGTCTCTTCCGCTCCCTCGAGCGCTCGGCCCCCTCCATGCGATTGTGTTTTGGCAAAGAGGAGCGTCACAGCCTTTTTCGCCTGAGCCGGCGACTGAACCGAACGCGGAACACCGTCATGTTTGTCCTCGCGATACTTGTAGAATGGATTCCAAAGTCTTGTGACACACTTTACTGGCTTCTTGTTTGGATTTTGAACCTATAGGTTTGACTGTGTAAGTATACAACATATAATTATCAGACTATGGCACAGCGGATGTCAAAGACGATTCTTTCACGATTGAAGGCTTTGTTGGATGCAATACTGATCACATGTGGCGACTTTTTGTTAGAGAGACTCAGGGACGGTATGGTGTTCAGATTTTCCCAGCGTTTCTTTGGTCAAGAAGACTGGATTCTTTTGAAGGTGAGATGATCCCAGTACGGATCTTTCGCAGAAATGTGGGAGTGTCTTCAAACAGGGTGGCCCCCACAACACAATTTATTGTCTTTTGGTCTTTCAGGGTCTCCGTATTCGTCCCTACACACTCATGTGAATTCAAGACTTGATCATTGTTGACACCTGGAGGTCACCTGGAAACTGACACGTAGTGTGCAAGGCGGAGTTCCTACTGATGCGAGATTCAGGTTGTGGATGTACAAGAGCTTGCTAAGATAGCACTACAGCCCATGTTGGAAGGTATCACATATCAAGAGCGGAAAGCGTTACCTTCGACTTCCACTCAGGTTAGTATTGAATGTCCAATGGTGGCAATTACCACGGCTGTAAACATAAATGTGCAAACCTATCGAATCGATCGACCCGAAACAACTACGCTCTCTTCCGCCCGGCCGCCTTACAGGGGGCGCTCGGAACCGAGGCTGCCGGCCTTGCACAGCACCTTACGGGTCCACGACCACCGGGAGGCCGTGCGCCTGCGTGACTTCGTAAGACGCTTTGTGAAGCACCTCTTGGAGCGGCACCACGCGGCCCAGGACGGACGGCACGGTACGGGCACAGGCCGGACATGGAGTGCTACATTCTTGTGCTCGTTGTTTGATGAATTCATGAGTCTACTCGATTGAATGTTGCCGATTCCAAGGGTGGTCTTCGATTCCCTTTTGGAAGGGGAGAGTAAATCGAGCGATCATATACCTGGCTTGGAGAGTAACTCGCAGTTGCTCCTTAAGCGGTCCCAAGGGCTTTTAAGCGGTCCATAGCGGTCCCGGGGAATCGCAACGATCCAAGTTCTGGGAAGACATCTGTGCCGACCACCTGGAGGCTTGCGATATCACTCTATTTGGATTAAGTGTACTATTCTTTCGTACAGTGCTTCCTCATGGAACTCACTCTCCCATCCACGGGTGCGGAAACCGTAGACACCACCGGTCAATGAACTGGAAGAACACCGCGGTCACCGTCCAGTGACGCGCAAAGCCAAGTTGGAGACCGAAGACCGGACCGAATCAACCGTCTCCACCCGGAGGAGCCTGTCCAACCAATGGGTGCATATGCCCTATGCCCTAATAGAGAGACGCTCCCACCAATGGGTTGTGGTCTATTTGTCTTCTTCCAGAAAGTCTTGTAAGGGGGTCTCCAGACACAACCGCAAATCAGTTTCATGCTCAGACTGCGTCGCCAGGAGACTCTGAAGGCTTTGCTCCGAATCTTTTTGGATCAGTCGTTGGATGACAGGCTCCAGGGATTTGGAGCGCAAAACTGCGGTGAGGAGGATTTCTCCAGTACTTACTAGCAAACAGAGTAGCAAACAGATATTGGTGCCACAGAGCTAGCCCAGCACCCCATGGACGAAAGACATTCCATGTGATGTGACATCTAGAAGAGGTGCTTGCACTACAACTATACAATACTTTGGCTTTGGCAAGCAATATTTAGAGATCCCTCAGCTTCCAGCAGTGCAACATGTCTCCTGTATGGCTTGAGAGTCTTTTAGACTGAACATTGAAATTCAATGTGGAGGTCTCGCCATTTGAGGGATCCACGTCATGTCTAGGGCCTAGTTGTTGTGGCTCCCTAATAGGTGATGATTTCATCATCTTCATCATCATCACCACTTCTTTATGCATAATTATTGGGGGCTTTGGTGATCCCTCCTTTTTGAAGCTTGCTGCGAAAAAGACGTGGCGTTGAGGCTCACGGAGAACATCCGCTTCGCCATTATGGAGAAGTTGGCCTTGCCGCTCTTGTGGGACTTGGTGGCGTCACCACAAAGCTGTCACTGGGCGACAGGGCGGTCCTGAGTCCCTGCGGTAGCACCTGCGATTCACTACGCTGAAAAGCCTCGAAAATTGCATACGTCCTGCATGTTCCTTGTTTGAAGTCTTCTACGGGATTTGTATGACCTTTGCCAGGTTAGGACATTTGAAGGCAGGACTCGGTTCTGTAGGAATACCTGGCCAGTTGTTCAACGTTGTTCAAATCACGGAAGTTTTGTGCCACCTGTGGCATACAAGGCATACATGTCATACAGCACGTTGGGAAGTCACCTTCTGACATGGCCGCCATGGCCATCCTCCAAGGCAAGGAATGCTGGCTGGCCCACTGGTCACTCCTCGTGCAGCGCCTTCGCTGCAGATAAAGCTTTGAATAAAACCTCCCCAACCAACAAAAAAGTACAGCGTTTGTGATGTGTTTTCTTAGGCAGTCCATAAATGTCCTCCTTCGAGAGGAACGGTGCACACTCACTAAAAACATACAAACACTGGTGGTGCATGGTGGTGCACGTTGTTGGACAACCCAGTTCAAGTCTGTCTCAACTGCAATTGATCGCCCAAGGATGGTCAGAATTCCAATCCTTTGTGAGGATTAACAAAACACTATTAATACGATCAAATCATATCAAGTACATTATAAAACACATTGATTTTAAAATGACTCTTTAAGACTTGTGACATTTGCACATACTCTCTTTGTTATGTCCAGCTCCTTAAACCCCCATCCAATTCGATGTATGGGGAGCGTCAAGACCTCCGTTCAAGTTAACGTATGGGTTTACCCCCCCCCGTATTTGCTGCAAATAGGCAGGATACGGGCAGTGTGGAGGATTTGCAAATCGTGGGTCCGTATCGGATGAGGGGATGGACATTAGGTACACTCACCAAACCGGGGTGAATTGCCTTATACCCCAAATGTGCGACCCAAAAACCATCGGACTCCATCGGACTCCATCGGACTCTCCACACCGTCACCGACGACCGCTTGACTTCGTCGGAGATGCGGACGAGGCATGCGGATCCGGATGTGAGCTTCGCCCAGCTGCGGATGCGCGACGTCGAGGCCTTGAACCTCAAAGTCCAGGACGGTCGACGTGTTTCGAAGACACGTGAAAAAAAAGGACGGCAGATTGGACGATGGTGCGAAGCTGGAAACCTGGAAGAGATGTGGGGTCATGATCGTGCAAGTATATATTAATTTGATAACATCTATTTAAGAGACACTTTTGCATGCAATTTCGCAATGTTTTTAACCCACCATGTCCATTGTGCTCACCAACAACCTCCTCCGGAATGGCACCGGTGCGCTCTTCTCACCGGAATGATTTCCAAGGAGATGGCCGGCATCTACGGCATGATCGAAGTCCTCTTCGTGCGCACGGCGCCTGATCAGCTGAAGGAGCAGATCATGCCGGAGCTCCAAAGTAGCCCCTCCAGGTGAGGAGCAAAGTTGCGCAAAGTTAGACGTTCCGGAGTTGGGGGGGTAATTTCCGGTGTTTGGGTTGGAACCAGGGAGGACGTGCTAGACATTCAGAAAATTGAGTATTTACTGAGGGTAGTGAAAACTGTGCCCTTCTTTTGTGGGGAACTTATACTATAGGCCCAGGCATAGGTAGTGTAGTAGGCTTCTGCAGTGATTCCGTCCATGTGTCTATATATATATATATGCCTCAAAGATCATCAAAGCGAGTTGCTACCATTGCCTAATTTTTGGGCCTATTGCCTTAAATTGCCTTTGGTGAGATCAACCACTCCCTTCAATTGTTTTCAGATACCTATACCCTCCTCAACCCTGTTAGAAACGGCTACCATCCCAGCAAGAATCACAGCCTCAAGTTTCCAACTACTGCTGCGATGCCCTCCATCGGCCGGGTTTGGGTTTCTAGATTGTCCCTTCGCACCTGTTGGGTGGAGAACTTCTGCTTCCAACTGTTTCCTTTTGTGTTTCAACACGCGCCAAGTGGCGCAGACCGGCGCAATGAGGTCGAATGTGTTTGAGTAGCGGGGCTATCAACATCATGGAACAGGTCTTCGGTCTTTGCATGTGTTTACACCTAAAAGACTTGGTTGGTTCTGAGATGGATACAAGAGTTTGTTTGGTTTCGTGTGGAATTCGTGGGGTTCCCCCAATTCATCGCCGCTTCCCGCTGCAGGGACATCATCCTGATCGCCAAGCGAGCTGCTCGAAGCAGTGGGTAACGACCCCGGAGTCGATTTGGAGCCGATGAGTTGAGTTGGTTCGAGTCTGTTGAGCAGAGTTTGAGTAGGTAAAGGATGGTAAAGGCAGAACCAACATATGTTTAAGATTGTTCAGTGTTTGTTCCTTCCTGTTGAAGCATACCGGTCACCAATCATCATGTATATAGGTCAATTTGCAACAATATCCACCTCCAAACCCACCTCCAATGCTGGAGGTAGGGACTGACTGATCATGACAGACCCTCTAAGCGGAGGTACCACACCTCAGGCGCTTCAAGTATGTGGGGTGACTGCCGGCGATAAGAAGCATGTTCATGTTCCATCAACGAACTGGCTTGGGCTTTTGGACATGCTCGTGTTGTGATTCCCATGGGATCCACGGTGATTGCGAGGGCGTCCGTTTCGCACCGCTGAGGCGCTCAAGAAACCCACCGGCTGGGAGCGCGTGGCGCTGCCCAGCCTGCGCCGCTGCCAGCTGCGCATCTACGCCGCGCTGTCCGCCGCCATCGGCGCCACACAGACGAAGCAGGAGATGTACACCGGAGACCTGCAGATGATACGGGTTGAGAGATGGGGAGAGCCCGAGAGCTTCGCGCTTCGCGAGGGTGCGAGCACATCCCAGATTTGGTGGGGACGGGAAGTGGATTGAGGCGTCAAAATCCAAGGTGGACTCCTTGGAGGTGATTTTGAGGCCGTCGAGCAGCCAAGATGAAGGTCGATGAGTCGATGAAATATCCAGCGTATTAAGCTTCTATACTGTACTCTCAAGCAAGGTCCGACAGGTTGGGTCCCTGAATTAGGTTGTCAAAATGTGTTTTAGCAAGGGACTGTCAATATCTGTCAATACCTGGAGTCTCAAGTACCTCGAAAACGGGTATACGGTAAGGCAGGTATACAAGTACCTGCCTTCAAAAAGGGGTCATGTCGTACTTTGGAGGGTCCAGGTATTTGTCAATATACAGCAACAATTATTATTCAATAAGGTGCTGCGATGCAGATCGTTCTGAGGATGGCTTTTTGAGAAAGTGCTGTGGGACGAGACAATGATTGAGCCGTGGGAGGGCGCTTCTGGTGCATCAATAGCACTGGATACCTTGAAGCCTGAGAGCAATTACAACTCCTTCCCCAGGCGAGAGTCGGTCGGTGAAGACAGAACTCAAATCCATTTCAAGGATACAGGCTGCATCGGATTCAATCCCCTTTCTTGGCTCCATTCAAGTGGATCCGGGCTTCTTCTCACTAGCGCTTCCAGGCCCGGCTATTCCTTCGCCTACCTCTCCGCAGCAGTGCCGGGGCGCACTCCCGCGGCGCGTGCGCGGGCTGCGCGCGGCGCAGAGGAGTCGACGCTGCTGGGTGCAGGGCTTTGGGCTGCTACGCCAGCTACTCAGGCGCACTCGCCAGCTGGGCGCAGTGTGTGACACGGTGAGAAACTGGAGGTACAAAGATTACGTTTGCAAGGTGGTTGATAGGGTGCTTCGGCCCAGGTGGTTCGGTTGAGTAGAGTGGGGCTGTTTGGCTAAGGTGGTGGTTGATGCTGCCTCCAACCTTGGTCAAGTGAGTCAAAAGGGTTGGATAATGTTGGATATATATTAAGCCCAAGGACCCAGGGGCTCTTGAATTCCAGACTTTGAGTCTTTGGAATCATTGGATACATTATCAAAACGATTAACATGATGATTACCATAATACATGATTATAATCTACGATATACCATATTCTACCTCTTGCACTTGTGGAATTCTGGGGATCCACAAGAGGCTGGGTGTTTTCAACTCACCGACATCCGATCGCAGGCGCCCATGACCCAGACCTCCTTGCGCTTCGCGGGCGGGCTAGGCACACTGGGCCGGGCGGCAGCGGCCAAGGCATCGCAGGAGCTGACGTCGCTCGGGTTGGAGGGTGAGAGAGTGACAGTGAGGAACATGGGAAGCAGTTTTTCTTGGGGTTGACAGTATTGTGGTGTACTCGTCATGTTGGTGTTTTGGATGTTGCAGCTTGTACTGCAAAAGGATTTTGGATAGAATGGCAATGGAACACAGTAGCGTTATGGAACATATATGTTTGGTGATGCAATTAAGATAATTATATAATGACTTGTCAAGCAGAGATGTGCACTGCAAATCCCAAAAGTTCAGACGTGGGGTTTTGACAGTCCCATGTTCCTGCTGAACAAAAATACAGACTTCTGCTGCAAGGACGGCAGGATGCCCCCCACTTAATCACTGAAGATGTCGTAGTGGTGACGGTTGGTTGAACAATCAAGGATTGATAATGAATCAACCTAGCTATCTCTTTTCAGTGTCGTCGAGGTGTAAACTCTGTGGGTGGTTCCAAGGGCAGCTCTTGCATCTCTCATTCTTGGTGTCATGTGACTAAGAAGCTACAACGCTTCCATGCAATCGAGATCCACAAATAAGATCAAATAAGTATAGTGCAACTGACCAGGAGATCCTTGGTGGTGGCCTTCTCGGTCTCGTTTGTAGGTTGGGTTCGAAGGGATCTTCAAAAAGTGTTGGTTTTGGCATGTTTTGGCTTACCAGAATCGACTTTCACCTGGTCGTCGACTTGGTGACTTGACTTCTGGTGCTGGAAAGCCAGCACCCGGGGGAGAGATGGATCCCGATGGATCGACCCGAGGCTGATGCTTCCGGAGAAGCAGCGGCGACAGCTGGCCACGGCCAGCAAGGGCACGGCCTCGCAGGTGCGCCGGTGGGGACCAGGGACGAGGGACGAGACATCCGGTCCCGAGACGTCGCGACAGGGTTGGGCTTGGGAGAGCGGCTTGGGGGTTGATGGAAAGGTACGGTCATGTCCCGAATAAGACACTGATTCTTTGTAGTCGAAGCGGAAGCGTTTCAATCATGAACATGCCCTCGATGTGTAATGAGTCCCACCATGTCCCACCTGTTCAACTGGTGGGTTCCTGGACTATCGATCGTCACTGTCCTGGCTCTCCAGATCCAGAGGTTGTGGATAGTCCAGCCAGGACACCCAGACAGGATGGTCCAGGCAACGTCGCTTTGTCGTTCGGAACAGCAACGAAGGGTGCTTTCCGGGCGGAGGACCAGCACTGGCCATTCCGGCGACTCGCGTTGACTCCAGTGTTTACTCCAGTTTGCCAATTGGGCACTTGAAACAAGGAAGGACTTCCAAAGTGCCAAATTACAACGTTTGTTTGCCTTCACTGGTTCCATCTTTTATCGGCATATGGTTTTTTGTTCAATGCCGCCTTGTTGACCGACCGACCAACTTAGACTTGTGCCCACTTTTGCCAACCATGCAAACGGCACAACCCCCATTGTCGAGTCCCACACAGTCAATATCAGTCAATCAATGGCTCCCAAAAGATGCTTCCATCCAAACCACCAGCAAAAGGACACCTCATACTGGTACGCACGAAACATTGATATACAATATCACAATACGGAGCCTTTGAGAGTTAGACGATTTCAACGATCAATTGAATCGGCTTTTTCCAAACGCTCTTCGGCCGACCCGTGCGTGAGCTCGCACGGGTGCGCACGCGTGGCCGCATCGCTTCGGTCGCTCCGATCCGTCACCGGCTCCTCCGACGGATCGGTCGGTAGGTGATCAGCTTAGTGGTGACCGGCTCCTCCGACGGCTTGACGCAAGGTGAAGGCGTGCCGCTGCCACCCGGTCACGCGGCAGCCTCTGCGGGTCATGTGGGGGGGTGGGCCGTGGATAGGAGATTTAGATTGCAATTTATTGTATATGTTGGGATATGCGGGGATTGTTTTGAGATGTGAGTGTTGAGATGTGATCTCAAGTCACTATTCAACCGTTCAAGTTAGGGCTTTCAGAAAAGGTTTAAGACAATTTGTGCCAGGACCCTCCGATTGAAACCACTAAGAGGGCGTAGATGGAGACTCCTTCGAGCCTTCCATTTGCACTTAAGTACATCAGAAAGATAGTTTTCACTGCTCCAAACGACGCCGAAGAGCAAAGGCCTTGACTATCGCTGAGCCCCCACCACTTCAGATGGCTCAGGTGAGGAGGGCCAAGCCCTGCGGCTCCAAGCTGTCCTTGCCGGCCGCCGCTTAAGCGGAGTCGCAGGCAGCTTGCCGGAGTGGGGGTGCATCATGAGTGGCGGAGGAGTTACCGGTCAACTGGGAAACAGCTGCATAAAGCAGGAGGCAGTAGCACAGCTATATATCACGAAAGGTAGCCTGGTAAGGACTACCTTGAGTTTGCTTTGCGAAGCAAAGGGACTGGCTTGAGAGCTTGCTCGGGACTAAAGATTGGTAGATCAATGTCTAACACCCCCACCCCCCCCCC